GTGTGTGTGTGTGTGTGTGTGTGTGTGTGTCCTGGTGTTACTCATGGTGTGGGGACTTAAATCTTTTTACACAGTGACATTATGGGGACTTGACCATGGGGACAAAAAGCAAGTCTCAAAAATGTAAATCATTACATTTCAAGGTGAAGACATTTAAGGTTAGGTTTAGGCAAGTAGTAACTATGTTATAATAAGTCTTCAGGCAATCTATATAGGTCAATGCAATGTGCTCAGAAGTCATGGAGACAAGACTGTGTGTGTGTGTGTGTGTGTGTGTGTGCACGTGAGGCTTCATTCAGCTGGAGGGGACAGCTGAACCTCATAAACAATCCCTGTGACTGATAAGAGAAGCATCTGACAAACATCTGACACGTGTGTGTCACAACTTAAACCAGAGGAGAGACGAAGACACCGTTTAATTGAGTCACATTCATAATGAGTTCAGTTCATCATATAATTATTACAGCTCTTCATATAACCTGTTCATCTACTTACACACAGTATTAGTCTGAGGTCACCTGTAGCTGTAACTTTATTCTAAAATCGGCTCTTATTTAGTTCATTTATTCCCAAATAGAACCTTCTGAAAGGACAGGTTTTTAACCACAGTAAACAGGCTGGAACACATCACCCTGGTTTCAGCCTCTTTACTCTGGCTTTGTTTTAGAAACAATTTAAGGCTCTTTTAAAACACTTCCAAGGCACTTAATGGTCTGACTCCTCAGTGTATTGTGGATCTGTTGTCCCTATATCACCAAACTTACTTATCTTCAGATCATCTGGCAGGGGCCTTTAAACTTTTCCAGATTGTCAGCTGAACACTGAGGGGGACAGATCTTTTGAAATAAGAGCCCGAGGCCCTGGAACACCCTGCCTGAGGAAATGCAGCAGGCTGAGTCAGTGGATTCCCTGAATCAGGTTATTCTAGCTATAGTGAATTCATGTTTTGGGTGGTCACACTGTCACGTGTTTCGTGTTTTTGTTAATTATACTTTGTATCTTTATTTTCAGAAGTGTTTTATAAAAATGTATTATTATTATTTGTCTTAAAATAAGCTGTATCCATACAAACTAGAATAGCATCTGTCAGGATCCAGTTCATGCATTGCTCCCGTGCTACCTCCTGCCTTACTTTGTAAACTAAGTCCATCTTGAGATTAGCAGGCACCTCCCTGCTATTTACAGCTATGTACCAGGAGAGGCCTGTCCTTCAGAAGTATGTATAGTACCAGGAAGGCTTTACTGCATGACCCAACAATAGCCATATGGCTCTGAGCCGAGCACTGGAGTCACAGTAAGGAGAGTCAGGTTTGTTTTATGAAAATAAATCATACAATTGATGGATATGGAACAATTTCTGAGATGGTGACCTTCAGAAATGAAATGGTCTTTTGTACTACGCAGTGTTAAAAGTATTACATTACAGAATGAGAAATGGCTTTCCATCTCTTTGGCCCATGACTATAATTTGGCCCAATTTCCAACTTTTAGCCTTTTAGTTAATAAGATACACGCAATGTAACCCATGCAGCCCAAACCGCACTAACACGTTAGAACAGATGCCACATGTAATCCCTTGTGCTCCAGCAACATAACGTGTATATGAGTCATTCTGGTAGAACAGCACCCACCTTCGTCTGGCTGGAAGGTGGCAGAGCCAGCACCGTGGTCTGGGCCACGGGCAGGCGGCTCTGGTGGTCGTGCACACGGTGGGCCATGTGTGCGGCTCACAGGTTATCAGACACCCAGTCTCTCATTCAGGGAAACCCACTGCAGGTGAGAGAACACGAGGAGGGCTGTTAAAAATACACTGTGCAGAACACCAGCCCACTGCCACGCACAGGCACATCCTCATCATAGTGCGTGGTTACGCGCAGCAAAACAGCCTGACTTGTAAACATGGTGTTAAATTTCATGACAACAACAACAACAACAACAACAATACATCCACAACACAAATAGCCAGACACGTTGTTTATAATAATAATAATCAATCCCACTTGATCAACTATCGATTTCCTGAATGGAGGCAGTTAAATAACTTGGTGACCACACCTCAAATGAATAAACTACACAGAATGAATAAACAGGCCCGTGCATGGTTGGTGCAGATAATTCCAGTGGTGCAGTGTGTCATTGTGTTACCTTGGTTTGTGTGGAAAAAGCCTGTAGTGTTGACAAATGTTGGTTGTGTTGTCACCAGTCTGCTGCTGCTGCTGTTGTTGTTGTCCTGCGGATCCTTGCACACATTTCTTGTTTGCACTCGCTGGTGTGAACTTGCCCCAGGCTCAGACGTGTCGTCTCGTTGTGTGTTTCTGAGGAGACAAGTGTCGAGCTGCAGATCGCTGGGTTGTGTATTTATTGACGAAGGCCTCTGAGGAAGAAACTCTGCAGCCAGTCGCTTCTGCTTCCCTCTCTGTGTGCACACAGCGCTGCTTGTGTTGCTCAAGGTCTTGAAGGAATTAGAGCAGCGTAGTCTGTGTTTTGGACTACAACTCCCACAAGCTAATCCCGTAGTCAGCGTGAGATCTCGCGAGTTTATCTGGAACATTGGGTTGCCAGGTTTGCTTATCATGCTCAACAATAGTGAGGCCTTACCAACAGAAAAACAGTTACAATATTTATATTATTATAAAAAATCAGTTAATCAATCAATTATTTATTATTATTGTTAAGTTTGATTATTAACGAATCAATTTAGCCCTAGAAAAAATATTTGACTTGATTTTAGAAATAAACCTTCTCAGAATGTTAAACAGCTGACTTTAATATAAACTTTTGTGAGAGTTTGTTGGATAAAATATGAATCACTCAAAGCACAAGTGTCTCATGACAAAATAGTGCTGGTCATTGAGAGAATATGTTCATTATTCCTGGACTTGGAATTTAGTCTAACTTTTCATTTCTTACAAAACTCTTAGACTCAGAGCGGTTTCCCATGTGCAACAATCACAGTTCAATTTGTTTTAAACTTTCAATCAAAATTGTCATTGATTATTTTTTGGTCAATTGAAGATCAGTTAAAAGTCTAATTATTCTAGCTTCTGTTGATTTTTTAAAACTTTAACGACTAAGTAGAGTGTACACCTCTGCCAGGGCTCAACATCCTCTCATGAAACCATATTTAAATCCACTGTATGGATTTAAAAAGGCAGTGAAATTGGATACTTAGATCCACAACAAAATTTTATGAGTTCTTCTTCTCATCATGCCTCACCCCTCCATTCAATTTCATAGAAATCGGTTGAGAAATGTTTGTGTAATCCTGCTCACAAACAAACAGAGAAACTCAGATGAAAACATCACCTCACCAACACATATTAGGTTATTGTTTATTTGCCATGAAATATTATAAGTTAAGTATTGACAAAATATAAATCAATCAAAGTACGGCTGTCTCATGACAAAATAGTGGCGGCATTTAAAATAATATGTTCACTTGACTTGAAAAATAATAACAATAAAAACTGAATACACCTTTTAAATAACAGGAGAATGATTCCCTGTCAATGAATAAAGTTTGTTACAACCATGTAAAACATTTAGTTGTATTGTTTGTAATCTTTATTTAATCAGACAGTCACACTGAGCTCGAGATCTCTTTTCCAAGAAGCCTGAGATGAAGAAACATTCACACATCAGCAACAACAAAACAACACAATAACAACAGTCACAAGATTCATAAAACATCACATGGTCAAGATTTAAAACCTTCAAGGGGAACAAGACTGTAGTTTGAGGGAAGTTTGTGAATCATAGTGAGTGAATCCAGTTCTGACATAGTGGTGCGTACATCTTGTGCTGTGTGTACTGGGTTTAAATGAGAGAAGAGAGCTGAGGTCATGTGGAATGAGTAAGTAGTTATGTGTTAATCTTATAAAAAGAAACAATCAAACAAAAGGTTTGGACTTCGTTCTCTCGACACTTTGACTGTGAGGGGGGATGTACCGGTGCGAACCTGGCAACCCGGGGATCTGGCTATACCGCTGAAAAACTTGTTGTTGTCGGGTAAAATGGCGTCAAACGTCGAGGCCCCGGAGCGCTGGTACCTCGCCCTGCTAGGCTTCGCGGAGCATTTCCGAACCTCCAGTCCGCCCAAAATCCGGCTCTGCGTGCACTGTCTCCAGGCCGTGTTCCAGTTCAAGCCTCCGCAGAGGATCGAGGCCCGGACACATCTCCAGCTGGGCTCGGTGCTCTACCACCACACGAAGAACAGCGAGCTGGCCCGCAGCCACCTGGAGAAAGCGGTGAGGGGCGCTCGCTGTAGGAAAGAGCGGGGATGCGGCGGAGGAGCGGACGGGTGTAGGCCGCAGGCAGCGAGAGCAGCTAGCGGCCGAAGCCTTTACACAGCTCCTGGTGCAGACCGGCCACTTCTGTAGAAAACATGAACCCCACACATTTCGGGCTCTTTTCATTCGGTCTGCTGAAATGTGGAGTGTTCGTCCAGACTCGGCCCCTCTCGTTCTTTCTCGACTGTCGCTCCTGTGTGGGATCATCGCCGCTGCATTGATGTTGCAAACGCCGCTGACATGTCTTCTCTTCTGTTCCGCAGTGGTTTATATCGCAGCAGGTCCCGCAGTTTGAAGATGTTAAGTTTGAAGCAGCCAGTATTCTGTCAGAGCTCTTCTGCCAACAGGTAACTCCACATTCACATGGATTCATTCAGAGGCGGAGCGGACGTGCTAGCTTAGCTCCACACGTCCAGCGCCTCCTCGCAGAAAGTGACATTTCAGGATCAGGAGAGTTTGTAAACTTCCTACGAGCAAGAGAAGAGATGGAAGTCCTGTAGCACGATCACACACTGAATGATCAAGGCTCACTGTGTTAATCACGAGATTGTTTCAAATGTGATCAAAGTGTCCAACAAGCACTGAAACACACTGGAGTCACATCACCAACGTTTATGTTTAGGAAACATATCAACGATCAATAACAATGATTCACTTGTACCACATTGCACCATATCATATGTGCAGCATTAACAGTGACTTTGTTTACATTGGACACAGATATTCCATAAATCAAACCTTATATTGAGGACGGTGTTCACATGAGTCGCTTGCAGAACATTCATATTCCTGTTCACGTGATACAGAGCTTAGTCTGATCGTGACAAAGTTTTCAAGCCACTTTTAAACCCCATCCAGAAAACCTGAAAACTTCAATGCACGACTCATGTCCATGTGCTACTTTGGCTGCTGTCGTTCAATTTCTGCTAAAAGCTGCATCTTGTTTACACCCAGGGCCGGTGGGGTCAAGCAGTTGGTAATTGCCGTTTGTCACAAAATAGGATGTTTCAATGTGATTAAGACGTGTGCATGTCTACATAATGGAACTAAGGTCTGAATACTCCACATGTCGTCATGTGATTATTTCTCGTCTCAAGCGTATCTTCAGTCAGAAGACAATCAGAAAGTGGTTTTTTTTGTTCTACGACGAAAACGTCTTGTAATGCAGTTTCAAATTAAACCTTAAATAAGTCAATGTGCATATAAACACAACCATTCTGAACTAGGTATGTGCATGTCAGAACAATACGATTACATGTAAACAAATCTGATGACAAATAAAGTAGCAGCATTTAACAAGCAGAGCCGCAGGAGAGAAGGTTAAATGCAGACGTTGACCTCAAAAGTCAGAGTGAGGCCAAACTATCAGTGTCAGTTAAACGCACAGTTTGGCGACAGTGGATGCCTGCAGTTGCTCGTTACAGCCAGAGCACCAGCAGCTCATTTATACCAACCAAATCACCACGGTAATCAAAGATCAGAGCGGCACAAATAACCATCAGGGATTTCACCTCCGTACGCTGTGGATCCAGTAACCATTCCCTTCTTAAACCATGGCAGGCTGGACATTGGTATTTATTATTGACTATTCATCCTTGTTGTCAATTTCCAGAATTTGGTGGACTCTGCGAAACCCCTACTGCGCAAGGCCATCCAGATTTCCCAACAAACCCCGTACTGGCACTGCAGATTGTTGTTCCAGTTGGCGGTATGTATGAGAATGAATGACATTGATTTACCCAGGTCACACAGTTTAGTGAGAGCAGAATCACAAGAGCTTTTATTAAGATGTGGTATCTAATCTCACTACAGTTTGCTCACACATGCTCTTTTGTTGTATTCTGCATTTTAGGGTTTTGACTTTGTGTCCAAATAGCAAACTTTGAGCTTCAAGTGATGACAGCAGTGTTTGTATTGTCTCTCTCAGCAACTTCATACACTGGAGAAAGACTTGGTATCAGCGTGTGACCTCCTGGGTGTCGGAGCTGAGTACGCTCGAGTGGTGGGCTCAGAATATACCAGGTAAAGGTCAAAGCTTTTTGTGGTTATTACATGACACCTAAATAAATCAAACAGCTCACACACTGCAGGGCCCCAATGTTCTTATTTATTGCAGCAGTTTGGTGTTGGGGTTTTAGAGTAAAAAATAAATGAGAATTGGAGTCTTGCATTGTGTGAACTGGGGATTTTGTCCTTATTGTTTGCTTGTTTTAATGTACCGACCTTTTTGAAGCTCAGATTATTGTGTATGATGCCTCCAATTTCATGAAACGTAGTTATTAATCTGAGGCACACAAAAATCCAATAATTCACACCTTTGCTGATCCGTTTAGCCTCAGTTTCCTCATGTAGAGTGTTTGCGGTTTTATATGTTATCACAAACCAGATAATGGGAAATGGACTATGAAACTCGTGGACAGCAAGTCTGTTCTGTAGCTGACATGCATTTCATTATTCTTTTACAGAAGCGTCCCAGAACACACGACACATCACATGCCTTTTTTAAATTACATATCGTAAGTCAACACGCTGATTAGCTACGCAGCAAATTCAAATGTTTGACACCAGGTAAAAAGAATGACATTTTCTGCAGCAATTTTCTTCATCAGGGTTTCAGAAAAAATCACATTCACACATCACAAAGTTCCCATTGTGGCCCAACATTAATATGCAGTGAATGTTAGAACGTATGAGGAAGAAAAACTGACTTGATGTTTTTGTTTTTCCAGGGCATTGTTTCTCCTCAGTAAAGGAATGGTGAGTCCTCTGTTACTACATACTATACATGTTACTACATAGCAGTATTATTATGTTTTCTTGTTTTTTTATGTGAATGTTTTTGTCATGTATTACAGCAGCATGATAACATCAACATTTAAGAGTAACAGTGTCATTATATGAATAAAAACAACAACACTCGTCTTCTTTTTTAGTTGCTGCTAATGGAGAGGAAGCTCGGCGAAGTGCATCCTCTGCTCACGCTGTGCGGAACTATTGTAGAAAACTGGCAGGGAAACCCGATCCAGAAGGAGTCCCTCCGGGTCTTCTTCCTGGTCCTACAGGTCACACACTACCTTGATGCTGGACAGGTAGGAAATCTAGCGTGGAAGGGTTAATAAAAAAAGTAGGATAGAGTTGTAAGGGTTGAAATGACAATATTTAATAATCCTTTTGGATCAGCATGCATGCTTTAATTGATTTTTAGGGCCATTGGCGGATGTCTGGGTTAGGTAAGAACATTTTTTTTGTGGTGTCCCCGTTTCCCCAGGTGAAGAGTGTGAAGCCGTGTCTGAAGCAGCTGCAGCAGTGTATCCAGACCATCTCCACACTCCACGACGATGAGATTCTTCCAAGCAACCCAGCCGACCTCTTCCACTGGCTGCCCAAGGAGCACATGTGTGTCCTCGTCTATTTGGTAATGCCACCTCTCATCTTCAGCATCACTACACCAGAAATCATATCTCCCAAAAAAGAACCAAATGTTTGTTTTCAGTAACAAACTAGTGGATTCTCCAACTTAACACACCAGCCTGCACTGTTATGTGTAATTTATATACAACTAATAATTAATTTAAATAAAAGACACAGTTAGTTCTCATGGGCAACTTCAAACCTCAGTGAAACACACTGTGTATACATTTAATTCATTGCACACAAAGATTAGTGACATACACAGAAGTGGAAACACGAGTAATAAATACAATAAAATGTAACAAATTGAAACAGAGGAATTGAGTATATGAACTCAGTTATATTGCACCTTGTACAAGTACACATTATAATACTGCACAGTTGGATCTTGAATTCTTTACGTTCTCTAGTGGCACCTGGATTAAGGCTTGCAAAGTGCCAGTTGTGGCGTGTGGCTTGAAGTTTTTTATCAGGACTTGGTCTGCAGTGTTTAACACTTACTCCTTCTTGACATTTTGCAGGTGACAGTCATGCACTCCATGCAAGCAGGATATCTGGAGAAAGCCCAGAAGTACACAGACAAGGCTCTCATGCAACTAGAGAAACTAAAAAGTGAGTAATAACTCACGTGTTCTCCAAAACAAAATGCCATTTAGAATTTTGAATAACTACATATTAACAAACTGGGCTTCTCTTTTCTTTATGTGTGATTCAGTGTTGGACTGCAGCCCCATCCTCTCTACCTTTCAAGTCATTCTACTGGAGCACATCATCATGTGTCGACTCGTCACGGGCCACAAGGCCACTGCTTTACAAGAGGTATATTGTTTCTGTTTCAATGAAAAACGAGCAGACGCGTCAGGAGCTTAACATTTTTGCATCTCACAAAAACAATTTGCATGCTTGAACGATCATGTGAAAGTGAACACTGGCTCTCTGTTGTGTCCGTCCAGATCTCCCAGGTGTGCCAGCTGTGCCAACAGTCCCCCAGGTTATTCACCAACCACGCTGCTCAGCTTCACACGCTTCTAGTGAGTATTTCACACCTTGTCCCCTTTTGACATGTGTTTTTGTATTTGCAACTTTAAGAGCTTGCCAGAAAGTGAAAACTGTAATACCGACTAAAATCAAATATAATTCAGAAAAGTGGTTACCACTCTTTTTTACACTGTTTCTTTTAATATATTGAGAATCGAAGGAATTGATGTTGACGACATACTTCTTAAAATTCTAAATACTTACACAAACTGATATTTCAAAGGAACATTTTTCGGTCGACAACCAAATGATAAAAACAAAAAGCTAGCACGTTTGCAAAAGTAACAATTGTTTTTGTGCATGTTTATTGAATTATTAAAGAAAATAAAAGTATTGCATGTCTGAATTAAAGTGTATTTAAATGAACTGAGAATTAGACAAAACCTATGGTGTAACCTGAAGTAAATGTTCCACTCCAGAAATATTGAACATAAGACCATAACTAACACTAAATATATTGAGATACGACTTTTGAATACTTAAAACACAGAAACCGACATTTCTGTCTGTCAGTCTAAAAGGTTTGTTTCTTCCTGCTCCTTTAGGGTCTGTACTGTATCTCAGTGAACTGTATGGATAATGCTGAGGCGCAGTTCACTACAGCCTTGCGGGTGAGCACGTGGTCATTTTGCTGCATCTGATACACTGTTACCAACGTTTTTCTCCTCTCATTTCTCCTCCTCTTCTTATTTTCTCTGCTGTAGTTATTTTCTCCTTTTGTCTCAAACATGTGGGTTTTGTTTTTGTTTCAGCTCACCACACATCAGGAACTGTGGACATACATTGTAACTAATTTGGCCAGTGTCTACATAAGGGAAGGAAACAGACACCAGGAGGTCAGTTTGCTAATAATGGGTTGTGTCTTTAAATGACTTAAACAGTGCAATGTTCAGTGATGTAGTTCTCTTCTGGAGGAAATGCTTTGTTCAGGTAAATAACAAGAGATAAATGAACTCATGATTAAAATTAGGAAAGTGTCTTTAATTTCCTTTTAAAGTCAGTGTTGCAATTACACAGTTTGTCCACCAGAGAGCACTTGTGTCAATTTTTCACTGTAATGTCTCATACCCAACCAAGTTTTGATAACTAAATTCAAGTGACCCTTATCTCAGGTCTTAGAAAACACATGGGTCATCTAAGTAACCTCGGCTATAGCTTCACTCTTAGTTTGAGAGTAAAGGGAACATGAAAGGTAGAGACAACCTTGTAAAGTTAGTTGCTACTATCTGTTCAAACATTTTTCCATTGTGTTTGTTCTCCAGTTGTACAGTCTCCTAGAGAGAATAAATCCAGATCACAACTTCCCAGTAAGGTAAGAAGCACAACAGTTCTACAGTGTGTATCTTTGGCACAAGATAATAAATTAAAACAGTGCTTTTTGTTGTTCATGATATTAACTAGTCTTTGTTTTGTGATTCAGCTCCCATTGCCTCCGCGCTGCAGCCTTCTACATCAGAGGACTCCTGTCCTTCTTTCAAGGACGCTACAACGAGGCCAAGTATGAGCACATTCAAATGGACTAAAGTGAACACGCTCTCAGGTCCATCGTGCACTGATACTCATATGTGTTTGTGATGCAGACGTTTCCTGAGGGAAACCCTGAAGATGTCTAACGCCGAGGATCTGAACAGACTGACCGCCTGCTCTCTGGTTCTGCTCGGCCACATCTTCTACGTTCTGGGAAACCACAGAGTAAGACGACATACCACATATGGGTCTAATGTTTGATTTTCACTGCACACTGTTGAGGCAACGACTTGGGTGTTTTACATCAGGTGTTAGAACAACCATGTCACCAGAGCAGAAGAGTTTTTTTTGTTTTTTTTTTCTACTCGATCAATCGGTTGGTGTTTACTCTCTTGATGTGCCATGTACAACTGGAGCCTTATTTATAAATTTGTTTGTACATTCTGCCCCAAAACAGCAGCATTTAATTATTCTGTTTGGTAAAAACAGCCCATATGATCACTTTGGATAATTGTAAATTCGAACAGATCTGCGTTTACGTCGGCCTCATATCACAGTACATTAGCTCCCACACTTAATCTATATTTGTTGGTGAAAACAGAAATGACTAATTTAAACAGGAACAATAAGTGGAAGTTGATTGGCAGTATGTCGACGCAGTTTTAGAAGTTACACATTAGTTTTGCAATATTCAACATAATAATGCCTACACATCCCCTCCCACCCTCTCCCGTCCAAGCAGCAGAGGTAAATAACGACACAAAGCAAAAGTAACACGCAGGGAGACGCTAACAATGAGGATCACTTCACGCAGGATCTTTGGGACGATCAGTTCAAATAGAATTTAATGTCGACAGGCAAAAGCTGGAATAATTACAGATGATCTGGTTCCAGATTAAAGGCAGGTTCTTATGACACTGAGCCACAAGGCAACAAGAGCACTGAGATAAGACAATAAAAGCACAACCACCGAAGAGAACAGTTACCGTTTATGAAATGAGATTCTCCATCTGTGTGTTTGTCTTTTTGCTTCTTTAACAAGTTGTTGTATCCCTCTAAAGGAAAGCAACAACATGGTTGTACCTGCCATGCAGCTGGCCAGCAAGATCCCTGACATGTCTGTCCAACTGTGGTCTTCAGCTTTGTTGAAAGGTCTGTAATCACCTCCCGCTTCATCTTATAAACAATTATTTATGCTCTTGTTACAAACTGTTTGAAGGAGAGCACAGGCTTTACAGACCTTTAACTGTAAGAATACATAACCAACACAAAATCTCTGTCAAAGATACAAGCTGTGGTCAAGGATAAATTTTAACGATGTGTTGTGCTTGCAGACTTGAATAAGGCTCTCGGGAACACTATCGATGCCCATGAAGCCGCTCAGATGCACCAGAACTTCTCCCAGCAGCTGCTGCAGGACCACATCGCTGCCTGCAGCCTCCCAGAGCATAACCTCATCAGTGTATGTCAAGGAGAATATAGTGTTTTGGAATGTTACATATCATTTGTCTCAATTATCTCTATTAAGCTCTTTTCATTCATGAAGTCCGGAAAATGGCACACAAAGGGGTCCAGAGTTCACGCTCAGAAAAACACTGACACCTCCAGACCGTTCGGGCGAGGGGAGACGCAGAATGCAGGAGGCAGGGTGTGATTCATAAATTCTGCTGCAGAAATCCCTTGTTTGTCTACAGCACATCGACAGCTGCGTTCCCACCAAAAGCGCTCGATTGTCATTGTCTTTCCAATTTGATTCGCCTGCATGTTTTTATGTGTGGCACCACTTCTTTCATCCTGAGATATTTGTTTTCGCTTTGTTTTGTTAATAGTTTTAAATTCATCGTGCGTTAGAAATGTCAACGCGCCCACTACCTTCTGGTGAATCCTCTGGACAATCACCTGCTGTATTCTCACATGGACTGACTCAGACATTATCCAGAGTTTTTACTACGGGGCTGGCAGGAGAAACTCTGGAGAATGTCCCCACCAAGTGAATCGGACATTTCTGTTCTCACATACAGCCCCTCTGACTCAGTTCAAACGATTATCTGGAGTTCAGTTCATGTTTGAAAGCAGCTATATGCGACCCTGTTTTCAGTGTTTGTTCTGCAGTGCTGTAATCACAGTGTTCCTTTCTGTTTTGCAGTGGACTGATGGCCCCCCTCCTGTCCAGATCCAAGCCCAGAACGGCCCCACCACCAGCCTTGCAAGCCTGCTATGAGGAGCCCTCTGTCTTTCATGTCACAGTAGCTGGTACATGATCACAAGCAACAGACTGATTCATAACAACCTGCTATCAGACCACTGTAGCTGAGCTTTGAGAGGATTTGAACAGGGGACAAATGTTTAAACCTTCACTTTATTAGCCTCTCAAATTTGCTTCCTGATTGTCTGCTATTCCATTTTTAAAGAAGTTGTTACAGCCACCGTCAAATGTATTTCATCCTCTCTGAAGGCTTACAGGACATAGGGGACGGGTTGGACTCTTGATTAGAGAAGTGGAGGACAAGCAGTGACTTGTAAAAGGGCTTCTCCGTGTCTCTGACAGGTTTCTTTTCCATTGGTTGGAAAAAAGAGGCGGTAGATGGGCGGGGCAGTAAAGAAATGTAGAAGAAATTAATTTATTCATGTTGATATTTTTATAACTGTTGGTAAATATTTTACATCTTGCCTTTTCTTTGTATGGATGCAGTTTTTTGTTTTTTTTCATGCATGGAAGTTACTGATGTGGACCCCCTGTACAATATTTTCTGACCTGGGTTGCGAATAATGAGTTCTTGGTAGATAATTTTTGTATAAAATCCATATTAGAAGAAAATAGAGACCTCTTGTAATATATTTTCACAGATTAATCGGTTGGTGAGTTGGCAGTGTACATTATTTTGGGACAGCGCACAGTCCACTGTGTGCAGTTCATCTTTAGACCAGAAGATGCCTCTGTTGAGTCTGTTAATGAGCAATGTTTAATCACTTCTGGATTTTATATCATTTGGTTGCAATGAGGGCTCCCTCAAACCTTAAAAAAACACATTCAACTAATGTATTTTCAAAACTCCATAATATATGAATTTCTATTGATGTATTCATTTTTACAAATCACATTTAGACTTTCGGAGCTTACAATAATCTTCAGATATTCAAAAAGTGAATTTATTTTATTTTGTTATATTTTAATTTGTCTGGATAGATCTACTAACTTGTTTCTTTACAGTATGTTTGTATAGACTCACCACTTGTTGAACCTTTATTGTACAGTGACTTTTGATAAAGTCAATTTAGTAAAGTGTGTATGTATTTTTAGCTATCCTATGTAGAAATCTCAACGCTTGGTATTTAAGGCACTCTGTAAAGACACAGTTTAAACTTGAGTACGAGCCATATTCTATCCAATGCCTACGTTTTTAATGCTTATGTTGTTTTCAATAATTTTCCAATAAAATACGATTGAAAATTTGTAATTTACTGATTTCAGATGATTAGTGATGCTCACTTAATTATGGTGATAGGACCTGCACTATATAAACATACATGAACCTGCATATACTAGGAGGTAATCCAAACTGGGCCACTCATGCCCAGATATGGTCAAAATAGCAGAACAATGCAAAGTAAACTGAGTGAATACCAGGGGATGTATGATGGATAATTGGTTTTACACCACAGAGTAACTAACTACAGTATAATCGGAGGCTTGAATCCTGCATCGGTGGCATGTTAGGTTGAATTTTCAAAGGCACTTTAAGTCTAAATCCTTTATAGGGCTCTCGTAATAAACAACAACTCTGGAATATTTGTAACTAGCATATACCAATGTTTTTTAGTGGTTAATTAGAATTAAATGCGTTCTATGTCCAGCAGAGGTCTTAGATGTGAGTCAAGAACTGGATACTCAGTAAAGATGCTGCATTCTGTTTCAGGTGAGATGAGAGGAAAAACAACTGTCCCATTTAGTCTGGAACCCATCATCTCCTCACTTTTTCATTTTAATATTGTCAAATTGGAACGATGACAAGCGTTGCACCATTCTCACTGGGAAAGCATTCACATACACCTGAAGGGCATTAAACAAGCTTTTTAAGTAACAGTATACTAAGACGTTCTCCACACTCAGCCGTTTTTGTATCCTCTGGGGTCGAAGCTGCACAAATACAGAACACGTCCAGAACTAGTGATCCAGTATGGATCAAGTAACAAAGACTTTTACTTCACTTTCATTTCTGTACTTGTTGAATACCTTAAAGTAGAGAATTTAGTATGTATGTAACGGGCCCTGCAGAGCAGCATGAACTGAGAACATTTCCTCCAGGTTAAAGGGAAGGATGCCTGAGTCATTTGCATTGTTATCTCCCTGGCTGAACCTCTCCAAGGCTGACTGACTACTGGAGGCTCAGAGTAAAACCAATCAAACATTGCGACTCTCCACAAGTGACTCGCTGAAATAAAACACTTGATGGCAAACAAGTTTCTCCAACTAAGTTCTCCAAATCCATTGTGATTGTCTTTGGTCCCACCTACAGCATGGATGATATCACAGCCAACCTTGGGGAACTAGCTCCATTTACAAGTCCTCAGCTAGAAATCTGGGTGTCGTCTCTGACCAAAACCTGTGCTTCAAACCCCACATTTAGAAAGTTGTTTTGTCATTTAAGAAACGTAGCATAGGTTAAATCTTTTACCTCACACACAGACCTGGAATTCAGACACCATTATTTCGTTTCACCTCGACCACTGTAACTCCCTTTATAGTTGCCTTAGTCAGAAATCAATCCACCATGTGCAGTTAATCCAGAATGCTACTGCTTGGCTTTTGACACAAGCCAAAAAATTTACCATATCCCCCGTTTCAGCATCCTTGCACTGGTTACCTACGGGCCAGGATGCAGTCTGAAATCCTCCATTAAGGTGTAGCTAGCCATTCCAAAATCTAGGCTAAAGTCCAAAGGAAATAGAGCCTTTGCCGTGAGGGCCTCTTCACTTCGGAACAATCTGCCAGAAGAGATTAGATTAGCAGCATCAGTTACTTGTTTTATCGCTCTTCTTAAGACACATATGTTAAAGCTTATACACTATAAAAAAGCTTTTATTGCATGATGTCTATGACATTTTATTATCTGTATCTTTATTATTATTTTTTTTTACTCTGAATCCCATATTGTTTGTTGTGGGGCACTTTGTTAATTGTATTGAAAAGTGCTATTCAATTATAGTTGTTATGATTATAATTGTTATTATTATTATCTGGACAGCTCTACAATTAGACATGAAATATAAAGGTTTTCAGGCAGGATAACTAAAGGAACACCAACACAAGATCATGAGTTGTGAGCAGGCATGGTTTACCAAGTCATGTAGTCCAGTTATGTCACATGACGTGTTTGTGTCTCTGGAAATAGTGCAGGAGTAAATATTTCCTGAGGACAGAAATGTTCCTCTGAAATGAACAAAGACTCTCAGGAAGGTGGCTGCCAGGGTTTAGTTTGTCATAGTGCTCTGGTGCACTGGAATCATGCACCAGAAAGTTAGGAACTCCTGCTCCTCCAAATTTTGCAAACGGCCCGCTGTGGTGTCACAGAGATCCTGAGGGAATGGCATTGGGTCAGATCCACTGTATTGTCTGTGCTGCCAGTGATTCAGGAAAATACCCATATATGGAGTCCTCACTTGTTATGATGTATGGTCTGAGGCCTGGACCAAAACTACTCGTGTGTCAGTTTTGGTGCATGGTAGGAGAATGACAGTTATGAAAGTAGATGAGTGTGCTGAGCCACATTATGCACATGTACATGTGCACAGAGACCAATGCACATAAAGAAGCTTCAAGATATACAACATACTGTGTGTGATGCTCGTGTGACATAGGCTGTAACAGACTGCTGTGTCACATACAACATACAAAATGTTTGTCATGAAATAAACAGCCAATGAGAATCATATGAACAGCAAAGCATACAATTTAGGGACCAATACAGCTGAAAGACAAAGTAAAACATCTCAAGTGAAAGGGTCAAGTGGATACATGACCTTCAATGTTTGATTGAAGTAAAGACTGTAAGAAGTGCATGTGGGAAAAGCTTTTCATAATGATGAGATAAAACACAACACATTTGAATACATACAAAAGCTGAGGTGACGCAGAAACAGAGAAACCGTGACGTTTCTGTGACATACAAACACATCATTATCCAATACAGGGTAGTCAGACTTATTAAAACAGACTGTGCTGCAATATAAGTGTATGCTTTACTATTTGCTATTGATTCGTGCAGGAGTCTGTTGTCTTCACTCTCTATGTTCCCTCAAGTACTTCCGTCGAGTGGTGCCAAACGCATCATTGTATCTGTATGTCATCAGTTAGAAACTTAACATTTCCGAGGTGTGTCTGAACGCAGCATGACGCCGCCTGTGGTGGCTCATTATCTGGCAGCCGGAGTGGCAGCGGACAGACGAGAGGGGATCCCCGGGATTTTTACACCGAAGCCAGCGAAACAACGACCTCAAACAGCCGAAAACCGCGGGGGGAACCTCTGCTAAGCTCCTCCTAGACTCCGTAAGTCCGCGTTTTTCATCACCGCACCAACTAATCCAATGTTTTAATTTCCAATTAAATTGACGAATGAAGTTTCGCTCTCGGCGTTAGCTCGGCTAAGTTAAGCTAGCTAGCATAGCCTCGTCTGAGCTAACGTGCAAGGTAATAGTTTGCGTGTCTCGGAGCAGCGCGCACACACACACACACACACCTTCCTAACACACAGCAATCCAAAAAGTCCAGCAATAATACAAGTAACTTCACCCCAAAACTTTGTGTCGGGATGCTCGCACTCCAGTAAATGTGAGTTATTGTTGTTGTTTACTTATTGTGAAGCAACGCGGGTCAAAAGGGAAAAAGACATTTCTGTGCGTAATCAACGCTCGATTATTTGTGAATACATTCAGCGGCTGTCTGTCTGGGCAGGCGAGTGTCCAGGGAGTTAGCGTTAGCAGGCTAACTTAGCTCGCTAGCTAGCTCTCCACCTCTAGCTGCTCAGCGAGACGGTGACGGGGTCGGTTTCATTGTCTGCCGTGTATCGCTATTTGGACGCCTACCGTCATCAAAGCTAAATATCACTGTCCGCATCTCATTTTAAAGGAGCACGTTCTCCAGGGTCTGGCGACTTTAAATGAATCCGTGAAATCCCAAGAGAAGCACATTTGACTGTGAGCTCGCGTTAGTTAGCCGCTGGTTGTGTAGCCGGACAGATGGACAGGTTGTTGTTGGCAAGCCAAGTTAACGTTAGCATGAGATAGCCTGTTGTTGTTGATGGGTTAGTTGGAAATAGGTAGCTGTTATTTTAAGGCACCCTGGGGTCCCTAAAGTTGATCGACACCATAAACAGTTTTGCCACTGGCCATTGCTGAGCTGCCTGCTCTTTTTAGCCGTGGATGGGTATGATTACGGCTTTATGAGCCACTGATCTCAGAACTTTGTCAGATTAGCTCAAGCGTGAAAAGCCTGTTTTATGGAGGCGTAATGGTGGACGGTTGCGCCTCCGTCAGAGTGTCTGTCTGTCTGTCCGTCCACCACGGATTAGCAGCTATCACCCACGTCACACCACTACAACCAAATGCCTACTTTCTGTTTGTTCCAGATTATCAGTGTTGCTTAACAGAGATCAAATCCATCACTTAATGTACGTAATGATCTGCCAAGTCAGAATTTTTTCTCTGTAGCTTATATACCGATCAATCCTATATAACTGGACCCTCCTGTGTTATTAGTCAGTTGATGTTGTGACACATATAATCTATACTTTGTGGCTCTGTGATCAGGGATTTGTGAGAACTCACCTCGAAGATATAAACCATGGTTCATGTTGCCTGAGCGGACACTTTAATCCAGTATTCTATTCACTTGTCTTTGAGGTGTGTTTAAGCTGAACACCAGTGTTTATATCTTTGCCTCTGCTGAACAAGTGCCCCCTTTCAGAGTGAATAGACAGTTGGCACCCTTGGCTAGTGATGGGGACACATGTCACTTTGCATTTTATGATGGGCCTTGGATTTGCCTGAGGAGGGGTGGCCCTTACGAAAAAAAAAAGAAACCCTCCTGAAAGTGATGTGAGTGGACAGGCATGACTCGAGATCCACTCTGGAACAGGACTGAAGCTTTTTTAAGATACAACAGTGTTCTCACCCATTAGATTTTTTTAACATTAGTCATAAATGAGGCTCAAAGGTATCGTGCTTATTGTTGATGTTCAGTTTATTAGTTATATTAGTGTTTATAGTTTCAGGTCCAATCTTATGGAATTAAATCTTGCTGCATTTTTTTATAGTGTTTTTGAGTTTCAACATATGGTGTTTAACCTTAATGCTGAGTTGGGCTCATGAAAGTGAAGGGTCAGAGATTGAAAGTCGCACTGCAGACTAAAAGGTGGTAAAACTAGTTGTATCTGCTCCATTGTGTTTTGTGTTCC